ACGATTTCTTTGCGTCCCAAATAGCACGCGATATACAGCGGCGAGTATTTGGTCACCGGATGAATACGACCGTCCGCTCCCGCACTAATCAACAACTCGACGATATTGGTGTAGCCGTCCTGACACGCCTTAAACAACAATGTGTTGCAACCACTCGGGGTCTTATTGACAATCACTTCCGCATCGGTTCCACACTTCTCCAGAATGTCTTTCGTTTCCATTGCATTGCCTTTAGAGCAGCAAATACACAGAGATTCATACAATTCATGACGAGTTCTCTCCAAATCATCTGTTGTTCACAAAATGACATCAAAATTATGATAAAATTTAATTCAATGTGTAATTAGGAGTTAATGTCCAGCAATCAAGTGGTTAGCAATACATACCGACAGCATCTTTAAGTAATTGCATAACAAGTTTATGTCCGCTCTGTTCCGCGATATCCATAGCTGTAAACCCGTTGCCATCCTTTGCCAATACATCCACTCTATGCTCGAGTAATAGTTTTATAATATTTATGTTTCCGTTCTCTGCGGCGATGTGTAAAGGGCTCTACCATTGAAACAAATATTTTGTTTTTTACAAATGAGATATCTTTTGAATACATAAGCGTTTGACAATAATTATTAATGAACCGTTGAATACCTTTCCAATTATGTTGTTTTGCGGATCATTTACTTGTCCTATATTTGGGTCGGCTTTTGACAAATAAATGGAAAGATTTTTTACAGTAATTGTAAAATAATTAAACATTTTAATGGCTTTAATTAAGACCCACAGTTAACATAATTTATATTATTGCATTTATTTGATATTAATGTAAATATTGATCATTAAAACAAAATTCATATAATTTAAACGCAAACACAAGCTTAAAATTGATTGACAGTATAGTAAGCTGAGAGTAAACTGACGGTAAACTTATAGACCAAAAGTTTTGTAAGAATTAAATTAGTCTTAAAGTAATACCAGAATTTGTGTCCGGTATCAAAGTTGGGTCAACCCATAGACACAAACATACTGTGAGTACAATATGAAAACATTAACCCAATCTCTCAAACTATTGTCTTTTAATTAAAAGATTACAAACTCTTACAGTAACTAAAACTTTTTGATTTGAACGCAAGATCTCAAGGAATGTATAGAAAAGTTACAAAAGAGATTGAATGATAGATAATGGCATTGAAAGTGACAAAAGATATTTGCAATTCATTTGAAGCTAAGATATAAATCAAAACTTTGTAATTAAATCAAAACAAATATATTTATAAACGTATGGTTTGACTGAACGCCAGATTTAGCGCAAGAGTTGGACTCAAATCAATAAATGTGTTAATTATAGACGTGTTGTCTCTGTGGACACAACACTCGTAATCAATAGGAAACTAATCAAACAAGTGATCCAAAGAGTGGTAAACTAATGAAACAAGTGATCCAAAGAGTGGTAAACTAATCAAACAAGTGATCCAAAGAGTGGTAAACTAATGAAACAAGTGATCCAAAGAGTGGTAAACTAATCAAACAAGTGATCCAAAGAGTGGTAATCATGTCTGACCTCCACGTGTGAGGAGAATCCGAGTGCAGGACTCGCTGTCACAACAGACG